CCCTGAGGAGCCTGCTTTCTAAGCTATTTGCTGTGAAAGTCAGGATTCTTGGCCTCTTTCTTAGGTGTACCCTTGGCTGTGTCAGAGAAAAGCTCCCTGGAAGGAAAGCGGAGCACAGTCAGCGAGGCTCAACACAATCTGGCTCCTGCTTCCTTCTCCTGAGAGGGCTCACCACTCCCCTGTTTACACCCTGTGCTCAGCTGTACCAAACCACTTGGAGTTCCACAAATGCAGCCCTGCCTTTGCACATGCTGTTCCCTGCACTTGGAAGGCTTATTTGGCGTCTTCCCATCTTTGCTTGGCTGATTCCCCGGGCCTACTCAGGCACAGGCTCACCTTCTCTAGGAAAATTTTTGTCTGTCGTCCTCTCTACATCCCCTCCTCCAAGCCCCCTTGGCTTCCACAGCAGCCTGTACGGACCAGAGTCATGGGGTTATGGCACTGTGTGTATTCCATATCTGTTTACTGGTCTTTTTCTATTGGACCAAGTGGTTTCCAAACCCGGCTACAGAAGAGTCATATGAGCCCTCCCACCGGAGACCTATCGAACCCCAGGAATGAGGCCAGGGAGTGTGCATTTTTAGTAAGCTTGATTCTGAGGCACAGCCAGTTTTGGAAACTATTGCCCTGTCTTCGTATTTCTGTTTCCCTGCATATTACTAGAGATTTAATAGGCCCTCAGTAAATGTTTGACTCCTGGTTTCTCTCATGACCTCTTGTTTTCACTTCCTTCCCTTGCTTGCTCTAGACTAGCGATTTGCTTACCCTCTTGCCTTTACCATGCAAAACTATAACCACCAACTGTTCATTTTTTCCATTCCTACTGCCAGGCTGCTAGGAGCTGCTGGTATATTTCCCCAAAGATGGTGCCATTGCAAATTCAGGGACTCTCACTGCAGCTGCCCCATAAATGTGCTTGGCCGGCTCTCTCCCATCCTTCACACTGTTCCCAGTGTCCACTGTTCCACCTCCCCGGCCCCTTACACAGGCAGTAGACCGACTTGCTTTCTCCTACACAGAGAAAACAGAGCCATCTGATGGGAACTCCTTCAACTTCCTGCCACCTCACCCACACACTCCCCCACATCAGCACTCCCCTTTTCGCCCTCCCTCCCCCTAGAGCAATCACTGCAGCTGAGCTCTGGGTCCCACCCCCTCCCACTTCCTTAGGTCCTTACACCCTCAATTATCCCCTTTGTCTTCGACCTCTGCCATCATAAAACACAAATGTCTTGACTGGTGTCCTCCTTTAACTGTCACCCTGTCTGTCTCTCATTTTTACCTCCCCTTCCTGTTGAAAGTGCTGCCTAGACTTGGCCCCAAGTTTTCACTTTCTACTCAGCCTCCACCCACACAGTCTGGCTTTGCCTCCACCACACCACTAAGGCTGCTTTTGAGACAAGGTTTCCCCACAATCTCCCCGGTAATCCAAAGACCTTCTCTCTCTCTTATCTCACAGAATTGCTTGGCTACACCAGATACTGCTCTTTGTAGCCTCCTTCTCAAAATGTCCTTTCCCCCTGGTTTCCCTGACGCCATACTCCTGGGTTTTCAGCTTTCTTCCCTGGGCTCCTCCTCCTCTGCCTGTCCCTTGCATGTTAGGGTCTCTCAGGGATCTGGTCCTTCCTTGGTCCAATTGTCTTCTCAGTCCATGGGCCCTCTTCCTGGGTAATTCTACCCCGGCCTATCTTTGATTTAATAAACATCTCTAGGCTGGTGAGTCCCAAACCTGTCACCTGCTTGTTGGACATCTCCTTGAGGCCATTCCTTTTTCTGTACCTCTGTCTCAGTCAATAGTTCCACCAGTCCCTCAGCTCTGACCCATGAAACCAGGGTTTCCTCCCTGAGGTCTCCAAATCTGACCCGTCATCCAGTCCTTTTCTTGAACAACTTTCAAATCAAACCCATCCTGTCTCCACATGTGTAACTAAAGTCGCAGTGATCTCTCACCTGGCTGCCCACAACAGCTTCCTAAAGGATCTGAATCGTACTGTCACTCATTTGTCACCACTCCCTCCAACTAAAATTTCTGAAGTGGAATCAGATGTTTCATTCCCTTACTTGAAAACCACTTAATGGTTCTCCACAGTTCTCTCATTGATGAGGTCCAATCCGGTCTTGCTCTTACATTCTAAGGCCCTGCCATGACAAAGTACCTGCAGCCCCACAAAAGCATGATGTTCTTTCTCACCCTTGGGTCTCTGCATATTTTATTCCTTCCACCTGAAAAGTCCTTCCTTCCCACCTTAGTTACTTGTTCAAGTCTCAGCCTAAACATCATCCTTTTACAGAAGCTTCTCTGGCTCAGCTGGATTAGCTGTCTCTGATTTTACAGCATTTCATGCTTTGTCCTTTCAGACAGTTTTTACACTTAAAATTACCCTTTTGTCTTTCTTAATATATTTATAAACTCAAGGTTGGTGGTTGTGTCTTGTTTGACAGCATATCCTCAACTAGCAGATGCTAGACGCTAGTAAGTGCTCAATAATTGTCTGTTGAATGAATAACAGACATTTGGAAAGGGTCATTCCCTATATTGTTGCTGGTAGTAAACTGTATGTTGTTTCATTACATGACCTAAAGAGCTTATATTATAAAAATGAAACAAGCTGATTCTGGAAAACAGCTCCTTTAGGGAAACTTGCCAGACTGGAGAAATTAATGTGTCTTGAGGTGAAGAGTCGTGGATGCAGACACATGGCATTGCCACTGGGTGTCTGTGCAGCAGCCCATGGGAAGGGCAAGGAGCCACCTGCGTCATCGGCCTTGGCTCCTCACATGGGTGGCACTGTGTGAGACATGACTGCTTTGGCACAGTTTCCAATTACTCCACAGCTTCCACCTGTCAGCGTAGCACTATGGAGAGCTCCGGGCTCAGACCTGGGTATTCTGGGCTCTGCTCACTACCCATCTCAGTTACCCAAGGCGTCACTCTACTGTGGGTGTTGCACTGGAGAGAGCTGGCACAGCTTCTAAAACAGAGTGAGCACACAACAAATTCATACATCCACTCAGCAAATACCTATCCCACACCTACCATGTGCCAGGCGGTATTCTAGGTGCTGAGTGTATGGCAGAGAATGAGACAGACAAGGTCTTGACGTCCTATCTATAAACTGGGGGATGAACTATGTGATCTCCAAGGTCTCTCCCAGATCCAAAATTCTGAGACTCTCTGACCAGTTGCAAACTGTGAAGTCAAAAAAGTAAAATTTTTGTTTGTGTAAAGGGTCTAACTTGTCCCACTACCATGTGACAAGTTATATATAATTACATATCAGATTGAGATGACTAATTCTTTATTAACAGCAAATATTACCTTCAAATTTTCTAGTATGTGATAAACTGGAAGGCACAGAGAAAAAGATCTGAAGGACCCAGCCCCCTTGCTTACCTCTCTACCTTACGTTCTCTGTGTTTGTTTCCTTAACTGCAAAATTATTACCTCATTTATCTTATAGGGTTGATGTGAGAGTCAACACACTGTGTGTGAAATGCTTTGGAAACCATGGAGGGCCTTGTGCACAGCGGTACTGTGGCCATCAGCTCTCGAGGATGGCTAGCTGCCACCTGCCTTCTCGCCTCCCTCCTCACTCACTCAGGTGTCCCTCAAGGCCCTAACTATTTTCACCATGCTGGATCTTAAAAGGTTATGTAGGCCCAAACACACAGCTAATTCCTATCCATATTTAAAGGAAGAGGCTGTTCCTTCATTGTGCTTGAGACCTCTTATCACCAAGTACTGGAACAAGACTTAGTTTCTGCAGGTAGTTGATTCATTCACAACAAAAGTTTTAGGCTTTTGTCTTCGTATAAGGCATTGGGATGGGCTCAGTGGGGTGCAGCTTCATGCATCTAAAATAATCTCATCTTTGGAGTCTGGCAGACTTTGAGTTCAAATCCAAATGGCCATTTACTTAGCTGTGCAGCCTTGGTAAGGAATGCTCACTCTGAGCTTCAAGTTTTAGTGTTACTGAAAGGAGTATAATTAATGCCTGTGAGTGACTGGCACATAATGAGTGCAGAGATGACAGATGAGCAACAAGGTCCATCTCTAGGCCCAAAACATGGTAATAGGAGTTGCAGATGATGAAACATAACCAGCCGAAACGTGCGGAGATGGAGGGGCAGTCTTAAAAAAAGGTGAGGGTCTTTTTCCTGGCAGCACTCAAGCAGCAGCTGAATGATCACTATGGAAGGCACTTCAGATAGCATTTCTGTTCAACCTTAGCGTCTCTTCAATTTATAAGGCTGCAAAAAGACATGTCCAATTGAAAGAGAAAAAAAAATCCTGTTAAGTTCAACTACCAAAAGGTAAAGATGAGCTGAAACAGTGTTGTACAGTTAAAGGAGCCAATGAGGGAAAATTAGTGATTGCTTCTAAGATGTCACTGAAATTGATTTGAAGGTTCATTGCAGTCTACATATTTCTATTTTTTTCCTTTGGTAATAATTCACATGGTTGATGCTAAAAAGTATGTTAGGAACCTCACTAGTTTTCAAACATGGAGCTTGTGTGGGTTAAGAAGTATTAATATAGAAACAGATGAGTTTGTGGGCCAGTCATTTTTGTGATCCGATGTGCTTTAGAGGCAAGAGCAGTGGGCTGGATTATCAACCAGCTGACCTATTCCAGGTTCCAAGATCCTCTTCTGCCTGGGCTACGTGACCCTGAGCAGGTCTGCACTGTCTCTATCCTCACTGATTCAGTGAGGTCGCCACCTCCCTGTCAGGTAGTGTGTATTAAACACTTTGAACCCATGAGATTAAGGCCAATTGCCGCTGGGATTATATTTATTCATAAAGAAGCAACTCTAAAAGCAGGTCAAGTAAAAGTTATTAATGAGGAGAAAGGCAAATGTTTCTAAGGTGAAATTTGCATAAAATCTAATCAATACAATTCTCTGTGCAGTGTGGACCCTGGGCCCCATGAGGGAGAACGAAGGGTATGTTAGCTTTTCGAGTTTTTCTCCATCACACAAAAACCTACTCAGATATTGATAAGATAAATTCATATGCTTTTATAAAGACAAATATCCCCGAGATAAAGCAAATCTACCATTTGTTTAGGAGAGTTTTCAGATTTTATTCTTATTAAAAATAATCTGACCTCTTCCCTCTATCCCAAAGCCCTGAGACTTTGCAAGGATAAAGAAACCAATCTGGGGCTTTCAGAGGATTTATTTGCTACAGAATTGCTTGAGCCCACCAACAAGAGGATTTCTGTGTTTAAAGAACTTTGCTCACTGCTTGATTCCTACATGCACTCTAACATTTAAGAAACAGTTCTTTTTGCCTGAACTGGCATATCTAGAAGGTTAGAAAAAGTTAGAATCTATAGAATTAGATGTCTAAAAATAGAAAAAAAACCCCCAATCATTTACAAATTCCGTATTTAGACAGGTCCTGAGTTGAAATCACGTTCACCTGCAAAAAGAATGTTTCAGGTCACAAATGCTGGATTTTACAATTCCAGATCCTGACCTAGACTTGACTGGTGAGGATCCCATGCACTGCATGAATGCCAGAAGCCGAGTTTAGCTGGCCAGTTCCAGCATGTAATCTACCCAGCTTGTGAAGTTTTATAAATCTCTTAAACCCGAGCCTCCTGGTTCTCCGATGCAGATTGTCTTAATGTAATTCTCAATGCTTTTTATAAACAAATAAACACAAATTTTCCCTGTGTGATCACACATTTAAATGTTTGTTGCTTGTGGACAGCTACAGAGAAACCAAGTATTGATGTGAATGAGCAGTCAGCGACGGGACTGTGAGTCTCTGGACAGCTACGCAAGCTGTGCAGAAAGCCCCTCACTGGCCCTGCACTTGCTGTGCACACCGGAGTCATGGTCAACCTGAAGAGGGTGTGAACCCCAGCAACTGCTCGATGGGTTTAAACCGCCACTCATCTGCCTCCAGCTCTTCTACCAAACCAGCCAGTTTTTCCATCCGAGCAACTTGCTGATCTGTAAAGAGTCAAGGTGGTACCACAGTGAATGTATTTCTTATGAGACAGCCACCAACCACCAACATAGTGACTGGTTTGAAAGAAATTTCTACAAGGAGTTTTTCCCCTCAATATTCTAGTAATGGGATCTTGTTCTATGTTGGTCAAAGACTTAATTTTTTTAAAAGATTTTATTTATTTTTAGAGAGGGGAAGGGAGGGAAAAAGAGAGGGAGAGATACATCAATGTGTGGTTGCCTCTTGAGTGCCTCCCTACTGGGGACCCAGCCTGCAACCCAGGCATATGCCCTGAGTGGGAATTGAATCAGTGACCCTTTGGTTCGCAAGTCCAGTACTCAATCTTCTGAGCCATACCAGCCAGGGCAGAATACTTAACTTTTTTAAAAGTAGTACTCATCCTCCATGCCACAGTGATGCATACTAAAATCCTAGGGTTACAGGCAATTGTAGCTCTTCTGACATTATGACTTCAATGGTGAAATGGTCTGGTGGGAGAACATAACTCCCTGATGAATAAACGGAGGCCTGGTAAGGCATGATGGAACAGAAAAGGTGCTCCCAGGATCTTAGAGTACAGGTAAATCATGAGGTATTACATACTTAAAGATGAAGTGATGGTGATAACCAGTGGAGGACAATGGTAAAAGAAGGTTTCAGAAAGGAAAGGAAAAAAACACAAGAGTAGGAAGCATTTCCCCTGGAAAACTAACCCTTTTGACTTCAACTTTAAGCCTTAATGAGGACATTATGCCTGGATTAAGGATTTGGAATGTTCTCGTCTGCAGGTAATCTAGCAAGTACACTTAAACAGCCTCACTGAATTTCAGAAGTCTGTCACAAAGCACACTGACCTTTCTGAATCTTCCTCTAGCTGCATGCCCCCCAAACATTTATTCTCACAGTTAAGTCCACAACACTCATGTACTTACCGTGTTTCACCTGTTTCAGTGTAGACGCCACTTGATAGCTGAAAACAGATTCACAGAGGAATCTCTCAGAGCCATCTGCACACAAAAGAGAACAAGTTTTCACCTGCTTGAAGAGTCCTGTGACGGCTATAAACTGAGAGAACATGCCCATTCTTTTCCCTGCTTTTACATTCAGGGTCTACTTTTCAGTGTTTACAAAGAGGGCTTATGTTTCATTTAGAACTAACTCTGGTCTGTAATAAAAGCTACTTCTTCTATACCTAGAATATTAAAATAGTTCCTCTACTTGTTTAAGAATTTAAAAATAGTGTTTTAAAAAAAACAAACAAAAAACCTCAGTCTCATGTCCTGGTCAACATTCACCCCTCCCCTCAAACCTGATAGTTCTTTAAAAATTTTTATTTATTGATTTCAGAGGAAGGGAGAGGGAGAGGGAGGGAGGGCGGCAGGGGGGAGAGAAATATTAATTTGTTGTTCCACTTACTTCACGCATTCATTGGTTGTTTCTTGTATGTACCTGACTAGGGATTGAACCCACAACCCTGGTGGTATTGGAATGATGCTCTAACCAACTGAGCTACCTGATCAGGGCTTTGATAACTTCTTAATATTCTTCTATTCTGCATGTCAGGCAAACACTGACAGCTGACACATTTGGCCATGTGACCGCTGTGCTATCAAAATACAAATGTATGCCAAAACTCTAAATCATTTTCATTCTAAAGAGTAAGCTGAGGGAAAAATAGCTGTTGTTGACTTTTTAGTATATCAAATTACATCACTATGACCATGACAAACACTGCTGGGAAATCTCATTCTGTCAACGCAAATTGTAACCTTGATTTTCCAACTGAACCAAAACACTGCAATTTGGATGCCGATAAGAGTATAGTGCAACTTCAGAACCTAGCATTGTACTGGTGCCAAGAACTGGCAACAAGGAGGTAGCTAACTCAGTCACCACGGCATTTGGAAGAAGATTGTGAAATATAAGCGAGTTCATGTTATTCCCCGTCAGCAAGGGCCAATGCAGCAAAACACACCCCAAAAGACAAAGAGTTCATGTAGGAAAATGTGACTTTTAGAAGGGTAGTCCAAACCATTTGGAGAAGGTATTTTACTGCAAAAATCTTAAAACAAATGGAGGGAGAGGACGCAGCTCTCTGATGGCAGTTCGTGCCAGCACTGCTAGGTGCCAAGCACTCACCCATCAGTCATGGGCTGGTGTGTCAGCCAGGTATTGAGTGACAAGGAGTTAGGGCTGACACATTCTGGCTCCAGGCCGAATTTCACACAAGGCAGACCTTATTTCAGAAGTCACGGTAAACAATAAGAAAAAACACAGATACCGTGTCCAGATGGCTTAAATATACAACCAGCAAAAGAGGGCTTCTTTTGTCCAGTATTATCATCAAAATTGATTCAAAAAGGCAAAATATAGTTATTTTCAAACATATTATGTATGACTTCAAAATATAATTTACTTCATAAAGTGATATGTATTTGAGGGGAAGTATTAAATTTATTAAATTCAACCTCTTTTTGGTCTCTCATCACCTCTGGAATGGGTCCTGTTCTCACCTCTGGGTGTGTGATTTAAAGTAAAAGAAGAACCAAGACCCAGACAATTCCATTCTTGTTTCCTCAACAAGTGGCATGCCTCTCACAAATGTGCAAACAGCACTGAAAACAAAGGAGACAGCAAGAAGTGAGAGAGAAATCTTCCCTTCTTGTGGGTAAATGACATTATCCACACAAACGAGTACCAAAGAGGAGGAAGAATTTCCAGATTTCAGGTCAAGATGGAGGCGTAGGTAGACATGTTACACCTCCTTGCACAACTATAGAAAGAATTACAACCAGCCCTGGCTGGTGTGGCTCAGTGGACTGAGGGCTGGAGAGAGAAGCAAAGGGTCACCAGTTCAATTCCCAGTCAGGGCACATGCATGGGTTGCGGCCCAGATCCCCAGTAGGTGGAGTGTGAGAAGCAACCACACATTGATGTTTCTCTTCATCTTTCTCTCTCTCCCTGTTCCTCTCTCTAAAAATAAATAAATAAAAATTTTAAAAAATTACAACCAGATCTCAAAAACAAATACACCTAGAACTGTCAGAAAATCGAGCTGTATGGAAGTCTGACAACCAAGGATTTAAAGAAGCCACATTCATCCAGACAGGTAGGAGGGGTGGAATTGCAGAGCTGGGGTGGAGATGATGCTGTAGAGTGTGGAGAGGAGGCAGTGGCAGTGAAAAGGGCAGTCCATGTGTGGTGCATAAATCAGGAAGGATACCCTAGGAGTGAGTGAGCCAGTCCCAGGCCACACTGCACAGCCCAGCATTCCAGCATCAGAAAGATAAACGCCTATTACTTTTGACTGTAAACACCAGTGGTGGCCGGGGTAGTGAAAGAAACTGCAGATTTTGGCCACTTAAAGGGCCTGCACAGGCTTAGATTGTATCTAAACCCCATGGCAGCTGGAATGGCTCCAACTGCATACAGGAGGTGGGCGAGGTGACTGAAGTGGGATGAGTGCCTGGCAGGCCTCCAGGAGCCAGGCAGCGGCAATGACCCCTCTCTGAGTTCCTCTCCCCCACAGAACCACAAAGCAGTGAAGTGGCTGCCCTGCCCTGGCAACTACCTAAGGCTCCACCCCACACAATTTACAGGTGCCTTTTCTACACAGGCTATGCTACTAAGACAGAGAGTAAAGCAGCTCTACCTAGTACAGAAACAAACACAGGGAGGCCACCCAATTGAGGAGGCAAAGACAATGGCCCAAATGAAAGAACAGAACAAAACCCTAGGAAAAGAACTAAACAAAAAAGAGATAAGCCAACCTATCAGATGCAGAGTTCAAAACACTGGTGATCAGGATGCTCACAGAATTCATTGAGTATGGCCACAACATAAAGGAAGAAATGAAGGATACACAAGTGAAGTGAAGAAAAATATACAGGGAATCAACAGTGAAAAAAAGGAAGTTGGGATTCAAATCAACGATTTGAAACAAAAGGAAGAAATAAACATTTAACCAGAACAGATAGAAGATATAAGAATTACAAACTGCCCCCCAAAAAACGAGGAGAGGCTTAGGAACATATGTGACAACTTTAAACATGCCAACATCTGTGTGCTAAAAGGAGAAGAGGAAGAGCAAGAAATTGAAAACTTATTTGGGAAAAAAAGAAAGAAAGAAAACTTCCCTAATTTGGTGAAGGAAACAGACATACAAGTCCAGGAAGCACAGAGAGTCCCAAATAAATTGGACCCAAAGAGGAACACACCAAGACACATCATAATTAAAATGCCAAAGGTTAAAGGTAAAGAGAGAAAAGCAGTTACTAAAAAGGAGTGCCCATAAGACTGTCAGCTGATTTCTCAAAAGAAACCTTGCAGGCAAGAAGGGACTGGCAAGAAGTATTCAAAATCATGAAAAGTAAGGACCTACATCCAAGATTACTCTATTCAGCAAAGTTTTCATTTAGAATGGAAGGGCAAATAAAATGCTTCCCAGACAAGGCAGAGCTAAAGTAGTTCATCATCACCAAGCCATTATTACATGAAATGTTAAAGGGACTTATTTAAGAAAAGGATCAAAACTATGAACATTAAAATGACAACAAATTCACACCTATTAACAACTGAATCTAAAAAACAAAAACAAAATAAGCAAACAACCAGAACAGAAACAAAATTACAGAGATGGAGATCATTTGGAGGGTTTTCAGCTATGAGGGGAAGGGGGAAAATGGGGTTGGGGAAAGATGCAGGGATTAAGAAGCATAATTGGTAGGTACAAAACAGACAGGGAGATGTTAAGAATAGTATCGACCCTTGTGTGCCTTAGTGGATTGAGTGTGGGCTTGCAAACCAAAGGGTCGCCAGTTTGATTCCCAGTCAGGGCACATGCTTTTCTCCCTCTCTTTCTTTAAAAAAATATTTTATTTATTTTTTAGAGAAAGAGAGGAAGAGAAACATCAATATGTGGTTGCCTCTCACGCGCCCTGATCTGGGGACCTGGCCTGCAACCCAGGCATGTACCCTGACTGGGAAATGAACCGGCAACCCTTTGGTTTGCAGGCCCGCGCTCAATCCACTGACCTACGCCAGCCAGAACTCTCCCTCTCTTTCTTCTTCCCTTCCCCTTTCTCTACAAGAATAAATAAATAAAATCTTTAAAAATATAAGAAAAGAATTCTTAAAAAAAAATAGTATGGGAAATGGAGAAGCCAAAGAACTTACTTGCACAACCCATGGACATGAAGGTGGGGGGATTGTTGGAGGGAAGGGGAGTACTGGTGGAGGGGGGAAAAGCGGGAAAAACTGGGACATCTGTAATACCATAATCAATAAAATATACTAAAAAATATTCAACCTCTTTTCTACATATTGTGCTATATGGGATATGATCCTATCTTCTCCTCTTACTCCTCTGGCTGAATGTTAAGTCATCTGTGAGTAGATCACCTATACTGAGCAAAAGATTATTTTCAACTAACTGAATATACTGACTGTCCAGTTTAAAGATCTAGGTAAGATGATGATATCACTGAGAGTTTTAGATAATTGGGCTGCAAGTAACAGTGAAGTCCAGTACAGGAAGAGGAACTATGTGAATATCTGACACCAATGATTCTGACTCTTCTATGTAGATATACCAGTGCTCATGAATCTATTCATATCCTTGCTTAAAGAGTCAAATTATAACAAGTTTTATTTTAAAAAGAGTAAAGCATACAGCTCACTTCTCAGCTGGTTTGATCCTGAAGTATGCTGAACTTTAGGATTTCAAACAAGGCAGTGGGGATTATGGGCCCTAAGAATCAGGCTGAGATGTATTTGGAAGCTCTTGGAAGTGGTACCTTCTAGTTATATTTAATCATTGGCACTATTAGGATAAAATACTTAAATTATAACACTTGCATATTTCTCTTGGAAATAAACTTCGAAGCAAAAGGATGTAAGCTAATCTTTCAAAACGGCACTTCATATGCCTTTCTATAAGCCTTTGCCACTATCACTTTGCCACTATATATACTTATGAAATACACTTTTGCTGATTTGCAGCTCTGCATTAACCACAAAGCCCACTGCTTCTTAGCCACATCCTATTAAATGTGATATCTGTACTCATCTAAAGCCTGGAATTTCTCCAGAGAGGAGTCAGCCTGGGGCAATCTGTCTTCCATTTAGAAATTGTAATCAAACCCTTTATAACACACCAAGTAGCAATACATCAGCTTTCCTCTTCAGGGACAAGCAAAGGTTATAAATAGTGAGAAGTCCAGTAAATTGTCCAAATCTAATGCCATTGCAACTCCAATAAATAAGATGCTAGTAAATTCATTTAAAAGAATAATTACTTCATAATAGGAAATTAGACAATGTCAGATAATTTATACTTCAGTGGCCTACAATGTCACTAAAATTCAGCCACCTCTGTCTTGGAAGGCAGTGTCTAATTTGCTTACTAATAATTGGGTGAGGACAATCTTAGCCAAGGGCAAGAGAATGCTGAAAATTGTTGTATACAGTGTATGCGAGGTGTCTGTTATCAGAGAGCAGGTAATGCACAAAAAAGTTAATTCACAAGGTTAACTGCAGGTTATTTGGGTTTATTATCCTAGATTTAGGAGGATACAAGATCAAGTTGAACCTGTTAAAATTATATACAACAGCCAACCTAGATTCCTGATTGTTTTTGTTCCTTTGAACGGGCAAGTCTTTCTACTTTACTTCCATATTCAATTAAACTATTGGCCCTGGCTGCTGTGGCTCAGTGGATTGAGCACTCAGTGGACTGAGCACACATTTAGGAGTACTCTTTTCAATTTAATGATCTTGATTTGACCAGGACAGTTTAGGGACTGCCCTAATTTTTCATTTCTGTCAAGTGTAAGCAACTTTAAAATATGGGCGAAACTTTAAACTTAAGAAAGAGAATCAAGACTGTATACTGTGATTTTAAATAATATAAATTCATCCTACACTTGAAAGTCAATGCATTCCTCCATAAAACATTGAGATGGCATAAAAATGGATAGAACTTCACTAGTTAGAACATCAACATTCAGACTAATCTCAGAAGTCTTTCCTCTCTTAATGTTTCTAAGTAATCTGATGTATATTGACAAGGAATGCTAATAGCTCTGAGACTATGGAGGTATCTCCAGTATTAAATTTCCTGCTGCAGCTAGAATTTAAATGACTTCAATCTTAAAGCCCACTGTTAAACACTGATTCCTTTTCTGCTGCTATAAAACTCATTAAGCAATGTATTTTTGTTGTTGTTGTTCATTAAACAATTTAAATGCCTCCAATTTTTTATTTGTTTTGTGGGAAACTTCCTTACTACCAGGTCTCTGCTATATATAATTGAAGTGATAATATACTTTTAGTGCCAAATATGGTCAGCAAGGCCCCAGTTATTACCTCTAGACACAGTGACACTAACTTGAATGTAACACAACTAAAGAAAACAGCAAAGACAGAAATACAGACACTTCAGATGTATTACCATGTTGCCCTGTCATCTACTTCACTAATCATGGTTTGAACTAATTCTAGAAAGCATTATGGTCTCAGTCTTTCCATATTTTCCTATCAAAATGATTCCTCTATTTGCCCTGGCTTAACCCCAAGCTCTGCTTTTCATTATACCTGATATAAATGAATAAAGATGACCTAGCTATCGCTTTGTACCTTTCTCAGAGAGAAAGATCAATGTATAAAAGATCAATGTATAATTAAGCACAAAAGTGCTATAATCAAACAGATTTTGAATTCTTAATAGGTTATTTGCTGACCTTTTTCAAAGTATGATAAGTAGTTTAATAGTTAAGGACCATTTTCATGAGACTCCCTGGGTATTAGTCAAAATGAAGATTTCTGTGTGGCATCCTAGATTAATCAGAATCTCTAAGATGGGCCAGAAATGTGGATTTTAATAAGCTCTTCAGGTGATTTTTATGCTCCCATTAAGAATTTATGGATGTAGCTCCTAAAGTGACATGAACCTGATGAATTCCAGGTACCAATGCTAGTCCACGGTTACAGCCTGTGCCCTGATCTTGCCCAGCCAGTGTGCAAACGTATGCTGAATAAGATGGTGGGCAGTACGATGCAAATTCCAGCTCTAGTGCTGGAACCACCACACAGCACTGTCCTGCAGTGGGCCAGCATTGCCATCTTCACCTGTAAAAGTAGGACATTAGTTTTTATTTCCTCTCACCACCTCTTTTATGGGGTTAATGTACCTGAAGACTAACTACATCAGACAAAATACATTAAACCTACTAATCACAGGGAGACAGGCTGGTGCCAGGATAAAGCGAACTGAAGCAGGAGGTCAAGAAAATTCCTGGTTCCAGTGCTGCATGTTTTTAACGAGGTCAAATCACTTTACCTTTTCTGGGTCTAAATAAACTCTAGATGGCCTTCTTAATTTCCAAAGATTTTTTCAGCTCCAAAGTTCTGATTCTGGAGATCTGTGTTTTAAAGATATTATTTTGAAATGGGGACAAAAGATGAAATGTGGAGCTGAAATCAGGGCAAATTCTTCTCTAATCCACTTAATAGCGTCTTTACAATTAACATTCATTGCAGGTTTCAATCCAATTATCAGCAAAAAGCAGCATGAGATCACCTTCTAACATCTCACCAGCTCCTTTGGGGTAGGTGAAAAGGGCTTTCCGAGGTGGGGCAAGGTCAGAGACGCTGAAACCAGATCCAGTGACAGAACTTCCACTGACCCCGCCAGCTGAGGAGGATGATGAAGAGGCAGCCATTTCCTTTCTAGTAGAATTCTCACTTCACTGCAGACAGAAAAACAGCAATTTGGCAAGTTTAGGGGAGTGAGATTGACTACACTTCACGCTAGCTGCCACAAAAGCTAGTGTACGTTTAGTGAAGAATTAGCTCCCCCTTCTTTTTGTAAAGATATTTTATTTATTTTTAGAGACAGGGGAAGACAGGGAGAAAGAGAGAGAGAGACATCAATGTGAGAGAGAAACATTGACCGTTTGCCTCCTGTATGTGCCCCAACTGGGGACGGAACTGGTAACCCAAGTATGTGCCCTGAACGGGAATCAAACCAGCAACTTTTTGCTTTGTGGAACAACGCCCAACCAACTTAGCCACACTGGTCAGGGCCCCTTTCTTCTACTCTCTCTACTCCTACAATCTTTTATTGATGTCCCAGGCCAAAATGTCACTTAGGATTTTAAATGAAGATATGTTTATGCTTAGTTTTTCTACTTAAAACACTACTTCCTACCATTAGTAAACTGTTTATGTCGCTTGGCACTGACTGTGGGTGATCTATGGGTTATGAAGGGGTGACAGGGCTGTGCCAAGGTGGCAATTTGACTGAGGAAATAAATTATATGAGGATAAGACAACCATGCCTCATAGGACAGTTTGTCTTGGATACATCCTAACCAAGCCACAGCAAAAATTCACTATAAAATTTTCCAAATAAAATCCCAGAATAACACTGTGTTCTGTTCCCAAGGAAAGGGAAGTGGTTAGGAAATATATTGGCCCTTTTATTTAAATTAAAAAGAAAAAAAACCTTTCTATCCAAATGTAATACACAAATTGATCACTTGGTGGTGTCCCAAGATTGTAACAAAGTAGTTCAGGGAATTATTTCAGAATTCATAACCGGTCAGGATTGGAGCAGCTGTAGAGCGTTTCATTTCTTGTCCTATCAAAAAGTCAAAAAGTCCAAATGTTGAAGAAAAAATTTATACTGAATACATGACTCCTTGGAAAAGTTCAAAACAAAAATACTACCTCTGCCACAGAAGCTTACGCTATACATTTACAAAAGGTTCTATAAAGTTTGTTCTTTAAAAAATGGTCCAGTACTGTGCTAACAGAACTTTCTGCGATTATAAATGTTCTAATGTTCTATTTCTGCCTGGCCACTAGCCCCATGTGGCTTATTAAACTAGTGTGACTGAAGAACTGTATTTTAAATTTTATTAAATTTTAATTGAAATTTAAGTACCCATGTGTGGCTATTGGTTACTATACTAAAAGTGCAGCTCTAGTATTCAGACTAAAAAATGACTTTAAACTGAATTATACTCTTGATTTTTATTTTATTTTTAGACAGAGGGGAAGGAAGGGAGAGAGAGAAACATCAATGTGCAGTTGCCTCTCGTGCACCCTCTACTGGAGCTGTGGCCTGCAACCAAGGCCTGTCCCTGACTGGAAATCCAACTGGGGACTCTTTGGTTCCCAGGCTGGTGCTCAATCCACTGAGCCACACCAGCCAGGGCTGAACTGTACACTTTAAAATGGCTAATGGTTAATTTATGTTGTGTAAATTTTAGTTTAATTTAAAAAAAGATAAAAATAACTTTAAATGGATTTTTTAAACGAATTCTCCCTTTTAATGGCCAGAGAGAATTTCAGCTGAACTTTTAATTTTGCTAGTTGCAAAATAAGTAAGTTTGTTATAAAATGTTTCAACTTATCTATTTATTTTTATTGAATTTTGTTGGGTGACACTGGTTAATAAAACCATACAGGTTTCTGGTATACACCTCCACAGCACATCATCTGCGTCTGAATCACACGCTCACCACCTGAAGTCAAGTCTCTTTCTGCCACCATTTATCCTGTTTGCCCACTTCCACCTCCCTGAAACTTATTTTTGAAAAAAATAGAAAAAATAAGGAAAAGCTATGCAGACATAAATCCTATGTGAGGTATATGCATGATCCAGTTTCCTAGCAAGGAAAATAACGTACTGTGCATTTCTGAAAATCTGGCCATTGTGTTTCCTTAATTTTGTGATGATGATTTAAGGCTGTGAGGGAAGCAGACCCTAGTTTCTGATTTCATTATACACCTTTAAGTAACTGATTAATACTGCAGTAGGGTATGGGAAGAGTCAGGCCACTGCTATAATTAGAATGTCAGCCTATTTTAAAATGCAAACTGATTAATAACATTTTCAATCTTTTAAAAAATTTTTAATCCTCACTGGGGGACATGCCCATTGATTTTAGAGAGAGGGGAAGGAAGGGAGAGAGAGGCAGAGAAACACAGATGTGAGAGAAACACAGCCAATCTAATTGGCTGCCTCTATTAAGTGCCCGGAGGGACCAAACCAGCAACCTAGGTATGTGCCCTGACTCAGGAAGAACCCTCGACCTTTCAGTTTATGGGATGATGCTCCAACCAAGCCACACCAGCCAGGGTGACATTTTCAATGTTGTATTAGATCACCTTTCTTTTTTTCCTCCGAGTTCTGTAACTTTCCAAATTGTATTCATATTCATAGAGGCAACACCTTTTGAAGTTAGATTCACATCCAATCCTTTGGACCATATTGGCTCAAAATATAGCTTGACAAGTTTTAAAATTTCTTTAAAAAGAACTTAAGAAGCTCTGGCTGGTGTGGCTCAGTGGACTGAGCGCTGGCCTGTGAACCAAAGGGTCACTGGTTCAATTCCCAGTCAGGGCACATGCCTGGGTTGCGAGCCAGGTTCCCAGTTGGGTTCTCTCTTTTTCTCTCCCTTCTCCTTTCTCTAAAAATAAATAAGTAAAATCTTTAAAAAAAAAAAAGAACTTAAGCAATAATAGACCAGGTCCAAATTTCTAAGTGGATTCCTGCTAGGATCTAAATAAAGTATATAGACAACATAGCTATCTTTTGGAACGCAACTCAGTCTTATTTCCCATCAGTTCAAAATAGAACCTACTGTGAACTGTTTATATACCTCACCTAAGACTTTAACTCTAATCTTTTTCCTACACCTTGATATATGCTTTATTCAGTTGCAAATGTTAAGTGATACTTTACATTTTGAGATCAAGTTTCTCTGCAGAGCACTCAAGCTGACTGCCAGAGAAAGGACAGCTTCAAAGGCTAGACACAATGTGACTTCTAAACTAAATATATTCAAAGAAATTCCCTATTAATTCTTTTTTTTTTCCAAATGCAGAACTACTATCATTCAATACACAAAAGAGCCAGGGTTGAAAACTGGCTCTTTGAGCAGAATGAGCACAAAGTTACTTTTAACATAAATAAGCAGGGTTTTTCTGAGGTGGAAGATATACCTACGTAATTTCAAACTTTATAGATTTAGGTTGAATTTTGAATGCTATTAGCAGGTGGTAACAGGAGCTAGGTAGGATAAAGCCTAGTTTGTAACTGCTCTATGAAGGCAGGCATTCTGTCATCAGAACCAAACAATCCCTGGCCTATTCTAAGGGGCTGTTGATTTAAATAAATGTTTACTACATGAACTAAACATTTCACAGGAATCATAAGATTCCCGAAAAGTCACCTAATCCAACTCCTTCATTTTATAGATGACAGCACGAAACTGAGACATAGAGACTTTAGCTTATTTGCTGTGACATTTTTCAAGCAATGGCTTTGTTGGATGTCATGTGCCATGTGAAAGATGAAATAGCAGTTGTTAAGAGCTCAGACTCTGAAACCTCTAGGCCTGTGTGCATGTCCCAGTTTTGCTGTATGACTCTCTGGACAAATCACTTAACCTCTCTGTTCCTCTGCTGCCTCATCTGTAACATGGGGACAATAATAATAGCACCTATCTCAAAGGTGTTATGAAAGTTAGTATAACTAAAGCATTTGGAACAGCTACAGGCACAGTAAATACTTAATAATATCAGGCATCCCAAATACTAATGGGTATTTACTCTTGAATCTTTTTTTCCTATTCAGATCTATTTTTCATACGTATTATGTTCTAATAACACTCCTGGGAAAAGTTCTAATTCTCTAATCCTCAATTTGACATTGGGTCAGCAAACTCCTAGTGGGGAAAGGGTCTGCTCAGGAAGAGGAAAAATGCCCTCCATCAATGCACTTCACACTTCCATTCTAAAGTTCATAATCTTAGGAAAAATCCTGTAATCTAGGAAAGCGGGAGGGAGTTGTCTTTCCACCTTCAAGCCATAGCAGAGTTCTGGTCAACATGGCCAAGCAGGAAATAACGCCTAGCACAGCACCTGGACCACAATGTTTCCTGCATGAATGATGAATAAACGACAGAACAAAGGGCTAGCAGCCCAGCAAAGGTTATGAAGGTGGTAGAGAAACTTGGTGCCATGAGGATTGGTCCGTTACTGTTCCCTTTTCTGTCTCATTCTGTGGATCTATTTACACAACCTTCTTCCACTAGCCTGCCACGCCCAAATAGGTGGCTCAGTAAGATTTTGTTGAATGAATATTGATGAAATAATCTGGATTTTGGTTTTATTAGGGAAGCTGGGACTATTGGCAAAAGAGATTCTCATAGGAGAGCAATGCTATTTTTGGGGAGACACAGAATGGCTGTGTTCACACTAAGATGATTAAACATTTACTTTATATACTACAGGGAGCACCTCGTATTCATAAACCACTTTCCTTCCCAGCAGATATATGCCTATTTTGTTTAAAAAGACTCCTTCCTTTTGAAAGTCTCAGTCTAAAGAGGTTGAAAGAGGTACCGTGGTACAACGCCAAATTATAACCGATCACTAAATCTCATCAACAAATCGTTTCACTGTGTCCCACATAAATAGCTGAACTACCATTAAAACAGATGCTGCAGCTAAAACCAGGTGGGATGGAATGGGAAGAGGTCAGAATTCCAGAGGTTCCCAAGCAAATTCCAAACGACACTCCCCCACCTCCAAACGGTTTCCCAAGGAGTCACTGCACATGCGCCTTACCAGGCGCGCATGCGCACCCAACCCCCCAAGCCATCGCGGCCTGAGGAAATTTCCTCTCACACGCCCTCTGTGGCAAGCTCCAGTTTCTCCTAGCCTCTCCATTTTTCTAGTGTCTGCAGGTAGGATCCCAAGAATGAACTCCCTTTCCACCAAGCTCCTGACAGTCCCTAAGCCTTCAGAAACTTACCTCAACGGTTTTAGCACTTTCCCCTACAGCCCCGCCCCCAGGGCCAGCCAGAGCGGCCGCGCAAACACCGACGTGGACCTTGGCGTGCTCGCGCCCGTGCAATGGTGGGCGTGGCCGGGGTGGAAAGGCACGGAGAACGCGCTTCCGGAGTGGACTTCCGGGTGTTTTACCTCCCTCCCTACCACCGTTTTCCTGCCGTAGCGGAGTCCTCTTCGGTTACATTGGAGTGCTTGTCTTTGTTGCTCGCTTTTGTGATTCAGGGCTTCTGCTTCCTTTTCCCTCCACTCGCCAACTCGTAGCAGCGTTAAATTGGGTATTCCCCTTTCCTTCTGAGCAGTTTCGTACCCAGGGTGGGCCGGATAGGGAGGGCAAGTGAAGAGTGTGCTGTTTCTGAGGCAACTCTTCCAGAACTCCTGGTCTGAGGGCCTATGACATTAAAATCTGTGCAGAACCTTTTTCTTTTTTAGAGGTCTTGGGGGAAAAAGTAGGATGGAGTATCATTAAACTATGCTAATTATGCGCGCTCTTCTCCATTCAGGTCGCTTTTCCTTGTATGTTATTTCTCATGACACATATCGGTCCTTGGCTCTGTAAGCAAACTACCAATTACAGTGACTTAGTTGCTGAGGGTTGGACTATTAGTGTATTTGTTAAGGATTGATCTGTTTTCTTTGGAACTCTGTATTTTGGGCTTAAAGACTATCCAACCTATGTGGTAGGAACATTGGCTGAACTTAAACATAGCCAGCCCATAAACAACCCTTGTTTCCTGGATTATTGATTCCTTGAGTTGTGACTAGAAGCTTGGCTTCTCAGCAGGTGGTGCAGTTTGCTGGGCAGTGGTCTCTGGAAATTGGATTCCTCCCCTCAGCAATGTATTGGTTTGAAGAACCATGTTGGTTTTGGTTAGGTTATATTTTAACTGTTTCCATAGGCAACAGGATCTAATTGTTGGGTGTATATTTCATGTACTTCTGAAAGTACTAGGGGCTTCCCCGCCCCCCAAGGATAAATAAGTGTATTAATATCCTTAATTCTCAATTTTCATGCCGCACAGACAGGATGAAACACTTTGCACGTGGTTAAACACAGAAGGTTGCACTTTATTCCTTTTAGGTTAAAGTAATAAACAGACGTCTACTCTTTGTTTCAAAACCATGGACAGGCTGTATATAAAGGGTTCAGAATCTTTTAATCTTTTTTTTTTTTTGGAGAGCTGAATAGATTACAAATTACTGTTTAGTGTGTGCCAGGAATGAAATACATAATGGAAAATGCACTGATCGACTTAAAACAGGTTATGAGGAAAGGAGGTTTAATGGAAATAGTGTTGCTTTTGCTTAGGATGTATTGTGAATGGATGCCCAATTATGTCCTTTTAGGCCTACATAATGATCCATATAATAGAGAGAAGGTTTTTCTTTCTTTAAAAAAAAAAGACTTTATTTATTTTTTAGAGATTGGGGAAGGTAGGGGGAAAGAGAAGGAGAGAAACATCAATTGGTTGCCTCTCACATGTCCCCAGCTGGAGACCTGGCCTGCCAACCAGGCATGTGCCCTGAGTGGGAGTCGAACTGGCGACCTTTCAGTTCTCAGGCCGATGCTAATTCTACTGAGTGACACCAGCCAGGGTGGGTTTTTCTCTCTGATCAAAAGGTGAAGTGATTACTTATTTTTTTAGGATTTCACTGGAATATTATTTGGGAACGTATCATGGAAGTTCTGCGCCCACAGCTTATAAGAATTGGGGGACGGATTTATAGGAAAAATCCCATTCAAGAACAGACTTACCAACATGAAGAAGAGGATGAGGACTTCTATCAAGGTAATCCTAGTTGCTCTTTGGTCTGATTAGAAGTAAAAGTTTTCTCTACTGTATTAGCAGTCCTTTGTTTTGTTTCAGTGTGTTTCTTTGTGCGTAGGGAAATTTGAAAGGATTGTTTTCATAGATTTGTGTTGGTATCAAGGGGACAGATGTGTTTGAGTTTGTTGAAGTGGTTTCAGTTGCAGTTCATAAGTCGCGTTACGTTTCACTTTGTACAAAGGCCTAAATGTAATAAGGAGTTATTTTAGTTAACCATTAATTTGACCATTAATATTCTGTGGCAAAAGTAACTTCCTTTATCTGTAAAGTTGTGAAGTAATATATATAAATTATTGAAATAAATGAACATAAGTATTTTATCCAGTGCCCAATAATATTAGCTATTCTTATTGTTATTTTTCTCTTCTTTGTAGTCATATACAGGCAGTTCCAAATTCACAACTTTATTATTATGTAGTGATAATTTTAAGAAATAAACTAAACAGGCCCTGGTTGGTGTGGCTCAGTGGACTGAGTGCCAGCCTTCGGATCAAAGGGTTGCTGGTTCCATTCCCAGTCAGGGCATATGCCTGGGTTGAGGGCCAGGTCCCCATCAGGGGGTGCATGACAGGCAACCACACATTGATGTTTTTCTTCCTCTCTTTCTCCTTTCCTTTCCCTCTCTCTGAAAATAAATAAATCTTCAAAATCACAACAATAACAACTAAACAGTCAAGATGGATTATAAATATTTTCAAGCTAATTAATTTGGGCTTTGGCTTAATACATAAATTGTCAGGGCCTTTCATGTTCTTTGCTTTCTTTTCCTTTTGCTTTATAAGCTTTTTCATTGGGCCGTAAGCCTTGTAGTTTAGTCATCTCCCTCATGTTCCCCATTGTTTCCCTATACCCTGGGGGCCTTTGCTCTCCTTTATTTCACTTTGTCTCTGCTATTATTAAGTTCTCCCAGTATTACTCATACTTTAGTCACTGGAGGAATTTTGTGTCTTAAAAACAGCAGAGTTGTACATTTTAAAAGGATAAATTTTATGTTATGTGAATTATATCTCCGTAAAAAAACAGTGAAACTTTTAAAATTATGTCTTAGCTTTCTGGGAGAAAACAGTTGGGAGAAACAGTGGTATGTACCAACTACTTTTCCAAGGTTCCAGGACAGGAAGATTTGAAATAGTCATGTGTTTTTTATTCTTTATTTTCCTTCTAAGAGCACGTCACAAGAAATGTTAGATCAGTGCTTTGCAATGTAAAATGTCTGGCTTTTCTTTGTATAAGTGTATTATTTTTTTTAAACCTTGAGAGTGGTGGACAGCTGAGGAGAAGGCTGTTGTTCACAGAGCAGCAGCTCTGAACATGTTGTGGTTTCTGTGCAGGCTTCGTGGAGTGTGCAGAAGAGCCCTGTGATGGCTACGAGGTGGTGCAGACTGAACAAGGTTTCCAGTGTACGGTGAAGGCCCCCAGCCTGCTCTACAAGTGAGTGAAGCCCTGGGCAGCTTCGTGAGGAGGCATTTCCAGGAAACTCAGCAGGAAGCTGACTCTCCTCTCTTCCACACTTAACTGAAATACTTGATTACTGATGAGAAAGTAGTTGTGTTTTATATCCTAGAATTTATTTTTAACCATTTTTAAAAGATTTTATTTATTTATTTTTAGAGAGAGGGGAAGGGAAGGAGAAGAGAGGGAGAGAAACATGATGTGTGGTTGCCTCTCATACACCTCTTATTGGGGACCTGGCCTGCAACCCAGGCATGTGTCCTGACTGGGAATCGAACTGGCAACCCTTTCGTTTGCAGGCTAGTGCTCAGTCCACTGAGTGACACCAGCCAGGGCTCATTTTTTAATTTTTTAATTATAGTTTACATATAATATTATGTTAGTTTTAGGTATATATACCAGTGATTCGATATTATACAACTTACTAAGTGACCATCCTCATAAACCTTGTACCCACATGACACAATACATAGTTATTAGAACATAATTGACTATATTCCCCATGCTGTACTTTATATCCATCTCCATGACTATTCTGTAAGTACCAATTTGTACTTCTTAATCCCTTCACATTTTTCACCCATCTCCCCAATCCCCCTCCCATTGGTAACCATCAAAATGTTCTCTGCATCTGTGAGTGTGTTTCTGCTTTGTTTATTTTGTTTTTTAGATTCATTTCTTGATAGGTATATATTTATTATTCATATTTTTTTCTATTGATGGTGATGATTTATTTTTTTAATTCAAACATTATTTTTACTTGTTTTCCATTACCACTTAGTCCCCTTAGGCCCTCCTTCTCCCCCATAATCACCACACTGTTGTCCATGTGCATGAGTCCTTTTTCCTTTTTGCTTAATCCCCCCACCCTCTAACCTCCCTAGCCTTAGCTGTCATCCTGCTCTCTATGGATGAGTCTGTCTTTACTTTGCTTATTAGTTCAGTTTGTTCATTGGATTCCACATATGTGTGGAGTCATATGGTATTTGTTTTTCTGTGACTGGCTTATATCACTTAGCATAATGTTCTCCAGGTCCATCCATACTGTTGCAACGGGTAAAACTTTCTTCTTTTTTATAGCCAAATAGTATTCCATTGTGTTAATGTCCCATAGTTGTTTTATCTACTCATCTACTGATGGACACTTGGACTGCTTCCATATCTTGGCTATTGTAAATAATGCTGCACTGAACATAGGGGTGCTTGTATTCTTTTGAATTAGTGTTCTGAGTTCTTTTGGATATATTCCCAGAAGTGGGATCACTGGGTCAAAAGGTAGATACATTTTTAATTTATTGAGGTATCTCCATACTGCTTTCCATAGTGGAAAAGCAGTTTGCATTCCCACCATCAGTGCAAAAGGGTTCCCTTTTCTCCACAGCACTTGCTGTTTGTTGATTTATTGATGATGTCATTCTGACTGGTATGAGGTGATATCTCATTGTGGTTTTAATTTGCATTTCTCTGATGATGAGTGATGTTCAGCATCTTTTCATATGTCTGTGGGCCATTTGTATATACTCTTTGGGAAAATGTCTATTCAGGTCCTTTGCCCATTTTTTAAAATATATTTTATTGATTATGCTATTACAGTTGTCTCATTTTCCCTCCTTCACTCCCCTCTACCCTGCACACTCTCTCCCACCCACATTCTTCTCCTTTACTTCATGTCCATGGTTCTTTGGCTTCTACTTTTCCCATATTATTCTTACCCTCCCCCTGTCTATTTTCTACCTACCATCTAAGCTACTTATTCTCTACCTTTTCCCCCTCTCCCCTTCTCCCACTCCCCTGTTGCTAACCCTCCATGTGATCTCTGTTTCTGTGGTTCTGTTCCTGTTCTAGTTGTTTGCTTTTGTTTTTGTTTTAGGTATGGTTGCTAATAATTGTGAGTTTGCTGTCATTTTACTGTACATATTTGTTATCTTTTTCTTAGATAAGTTCCTTTAACGTTTCATATAATAAGGGCTTGGTGATGATAAACTCCTTTAACTTGACCTTATCTGAGAAGCACTTGATCTGCCCTTCCATGCTAAATGAAAGCTTTGCTGGATAGAGCAATCTTGGATGTAGGTCCTTGCCTTTCATGACTTGGAATACTTCCTTCCAGCCCCTTGTAGCCTGTAAGGTCTCTTTTGAGAAATCAGCTGACAGTCTGATGGGAACTCCTTTGTAGGAAACTGCCTCCTTATCTCTTGCTGCTTCTAGGATTTTCTCTTGGCTTAATTTTAATCTTGGCTAATGTAATTATGATGTGTCTTGGTGTGTTCCTCCTTGGGTCCAACTTCTTTGGGACTCTCTGAGCTTCCTGGACTGCCTGGAAGTCTATTTCCTTTGCCAGATTGGGGAAGTTCTCCTTTATTATTTGTCCAGCTAACTTTTCCACTTGTTGCTCTTCCTCTTCCTTCTGGTACCCCTATAATTCAGACATTGGAACGTTTGCAGATGTCCTGGAGGTTCCTAAGCCTCTCCTCATTTTTCTGAATTCTTATTTCTTCATTCTTTTGTGATTGGATGTTTCTTTCTTCTTTCTGGTCTGCACCGTTGATTTGAACCCCAGTTTCTTTCGCATCACTATTGATTCCCTGTACATTTTCCTTTATTTCACTTATCATTGTCTTCATTTTTTCATCTAATTTGTGACCAAATTCAACCAGTTCTGTGAGCATCCTGATTACTGATTGTTTTGAACTGTGCATCTGAATGGTTGGCTACCTCTTTGTCACTTAGTTGTATTTTTTCTGGAACTTTGATCTGTTCTTTCGTTTGGACCATTTTTTTTGTCTTGACACTCCTGTTATGTGGTGAGGGGTGGAGACTTAGTTGGTCACCAGGGTGGGGCAACCCACATTGCTGCTTTATGGGCTGTATGAGGGGGAGGGGTCCAAGAGGGAACAATGGTGCCTGCTCAGCTCTCAGCCAGATTTCAGTCACTTCCCCCATACCCACAAGCAAATTGGGCCCTTCTGGTGCTGACTCCTGTGTGTGTGGGTTTGCATTTGTTCTAGGACCGTGTGCCTTTGCCCATTTTTTAATGGGTTGTGTTTTTGGTGTTGGGTTTTGAATGTTCTTTATAAATTGGGGATATTAACCCCTTTTCAGATGAATTGGTGAATATGTTCTTCAATTCGGTGGGTTGTCTTTTTGTTTTGTTGGTGATTTCCTTTGCTGTGCAAAAACTTTTTAGTTTGTTGTAGTCCCATTTGTTTATTTTTTCTTTTGTTTCCCTTGCCTAGGGAGATATATCCGATAAAATATTGCTATGAGCAATGTCTGAGACTTTTCCGCCCATCTTCTTCAATTATTTTGTCTTTTAGAATCAATTGTTGATAGATATATATTTATTGCCATTTTATTATTCATATTTTTAATCTTTTTTTCTTAGAAATGACCCTTTGACATTTCATGTAATACTGGTTGGTGGTGATGAACTCCTTTTACTTTTTTTTGTCTAGGAAGCTCTTTTATGTCTTTTGATTCAAATGATAGGTTTGCTGGGTAGAGTAATCTTGGTTGTAGGTCCTTGCTCTTCATTACTTTGAATATTTCTTGGTAATCTTTTTTGGCCTGCAGAGTTTCTGTTGAGAAATCAGTGGACAGTTCTTCTTTTTAAACTTTTATTTGTTTTCAGAGAGAAGAGAAGGGAGGGAGAAAGAGGGAGAGAAACATCAGTTGCTCTTGCATGCTCCCATCTGGGGATCTGGCCTGGAATCCAGCCATGTGCCCTGAAAGCGAATCAAATTGGTGACCTTTCAGCTCGTAGGTTTGTGTTCAACTCACTGAGTCACACCAGCCATGGCTCAGTGGATATTATGGGAGTTCCCTTGCAGGTTAATAACTGCTTTTCTCTTGCTGCTGCTAAAATTCTCTTTGTCTTTAACATTCTGCATTTTAAATATGATATGCCTTGCTGAGGGTGTCTTTGGGTTCATCTTGTTTGGTACCCTGTGCTTTCTAGACTTATATGTCTGTTTTCTCCACCAAGTTACAGAAGTTTTCTGTCATTACTTTTTCAAATAGGTTTTCAATTTCTTACCCTTTCACTTCTCTGGCACCCCCATGACATAGATGTTGCTTTTCTTGAAGTTGTTCTAGACGTTCCTTATACTATCCTTATTTTTTTGGACTCCTTTTTCTTTTCATTTAAAGGTTTCATTTATTTATTTTTAGGGAGGGGGAAGGGAGGGAGAAAGAGAAGAGAAACATCAATGTGGGGTTGCCTCTCGCATGCCCCCTACTGAGGACCTGGCACACCTGCAACCCAGGCATGTGCCCTGACTGGGAATCATATCGGTGACCCTTTGGTTCTCAGACAGTGCTCAATCCACTGAGCTACACCAGCTGGGGTGTGGATTCCTTTTTTTTTTTTTTTCCAGCTGTTCTGATTGGGTGTTTTTTTTGCTTCCTTGTGTTCCAAATCACCGATTTGATTCTTGGCTTCCTCTACTCTACTGTTGATTCCCTGTAAGTTATTCTTCATTTCAGTTAGTTTATCCTTTATTTCCAACTGGATTGTTTTGGTTTTTTATGGTTTCCATGTCCTTTTTTTATGCTGTTGAAGTTCTCTCTGAGTTCCTTCAACATCCTTATATCCAGTGTTTTGAACTCTATACCTAGTAAATCGGTTGTCTCCATTTTGTTTATTTTTTTTTTCTGGAGTTTTGTTCTGTTTTTTTTTTCATTTGGGACATATTTCTTTGTTCCCTCATTTTGGCTGCCACCCTGTGTTTGTTTCTATGAGCTGCTCAGTCTTCTGGTCTTGGTAGAATGTGGTAGGTGTTCTGTAGGGTCCAGTGGTACAGCTTCCCTGATCACCCAAGCTGGGCAGTCCAGGTTCCCTGCCTTGCCCACGGCAGTGTGAGCTGTCTATACCAGCTCCCCATTGAAGGTGAGCCTTGATGGGAGGGATTTACTCCCAGGCTGATGGGCTTTCGACCAGGTGGGTTGGCTTTGGGGCTCCGCAGGAGGTGCAGGCCAAG